TACCCTCTCTCACATAGTCTCAAGTCCCTGGAGGATGGAGGTTTCTCTCCCTTTTCATTGTGGTTTCCGTTGTGTATGCCAGTAGTTGTCAGCAGATCCTCACTGCAATCCCAGGATACACCCGGCCCCAAGTGGAATCTCGGTTTATCTTTCTTCCTTAAGTGGTCGGTCAAGTCCGGCCAGCTTCCCCTCCTACCCGCCATCATCTAGAGAGGATCCTGTGACTACGAGGCTAACGATGGTGTGTATCGATTTATGATAAACTGTAGCTATATAGCAAAGAGAAAAGCCCTCATAAGTTCCTTATATTTGGTTTGGATTCAGCCTTGCCAGCAAGTAACGTAGCAGCGTGGTTGAGCATGACAATGGCACGTGATCATCCACTGTAATACGGTCGAGTACAAAACTAGTCAAGAGCATTTTTAACTTGGCATCCAAAAAGTTGCCGTGAAAGGGTCTGTTCACCTGAGCTGCTCTCCAATCTCCGAGCTCTCTAACACCGCGACGACAACCTCATTCCACAATCCTGCCTTGCGATAACAATTCCCAACTACTGCGCCAGCTTTATTCCTGCTCCAGTGATAGGTTGCTGACACTGCTCCAACGCGCCCAAGGCGCGAAACATACACAATCATGGTTCACAAGATCCTGTTCTGGGCCGGTTTCGGTAAACACCTATCCCCCCCTTTATACCTTGCCTAACAGGCCCTTTGGGTGTCGTTTTTTAACGTTTCTACTAGGCATCGCCACACGCTTTGTCCAACTGGGGATAGAGATGAGACCATTCTTTCAACGCGGCACATTATGGGTGTACCCACTATTTGCGAGCATCGGGGGATCCTTTGGTTATTGGTTGACGGGCGTTGAAGATAGACAAGTCAAGCTCCTTCAGCAACGGAAACAGATTATAATCGAGAAGAGACGACGAAGAGCAGAGCGTGAGGCGGCTGCGGACGGGTCGCTCGCTGAGACCGCAGGCGTGCTGGCATCGACGAGTTAAAGCCACTAAACAAACAAACGAGGTGGATTATTGACACATGGGCAAGGTGTTCGTTGAAAATAGACCTGGAACCTGTTGTTCACAGCCAGTTGGCGAGATGAAGGGGGACAGAGCAAGGAGCTGCGACACCACACCACACCACATCACAACCTCACTACTACTACTACTATTATTATTGTACAAAGGCCTACGACGTTTTGTATGACACATGCCATATACAGCAGTCTCAAAAGTCACGATGACAAGGAGTGAAGACAGCTCTGGAATGGAGCAAATCCATCACTATTACACACAGACTTGCCTCTTGGACTGGTGCCCCAGCGTGCGTGCAATGCTCGATTATTTCCATGACAGTGTGTTATGACCAGCAAAGAGGATTTCTTCGCAGACCACACGGAACATTGGAGAAAGAGAAAATACCCATCCCCCTTGATTCCACTCACGCATTGAATTCCTGAGTCATCAACCTCCTGTTCCTTGTCTCATGCACATCCCTCCCCTTCTTCTATGCCCTCGGCGGCGGCTCCTCTGGGTACGACTCTGCGCCTTCTGGAATGGGGACCAACGCGCTCTTTGTCCAGATGTGCGTTGCGCCGGTGAAGATGTCGCCGTCGATGCCCTCGAGACACCCGCCCTTGACGGCGACGTAGCCCGAACTGCCCGTGGGCGCGACGCTGACGTTCATGATGCGCGTCCCGCACTTTTTGCAGTAGTAGCACTTTTTGGCCCGGCCGGACGTCGTGCGCGAGTGCTCGTAGATACCGATGACGGGAGACTCCGCATCCGCGGCGCCACCATTCTTGCCGTCGTTGTCGTTGTCTCTCCCAAGCGCCGAACTGGACGCAGACTCGTCCCCCGCAACGGAAACCTGGGAAAGCAGATCAAAGTGCGGGAAGATGGCCGAGATGCCAAACGCGCTGGCGCTCTGGCGGCGGCACTCGTGGCAGTGGCAGACGTACCACTTGATGGGCTTTTCCGTGGGCGTGCGAAAGCGCACGGTGCCGCATTGGCAGCGACCTTCCATATTATTTTTCTTATGTATGGCGAGGTGCGGGGTTTGGGCGATGATACTGGATATTGATTATGTATGTTTTTTTTCCGAGGGAGACACAAATCATTAATGGGAGATGTGGATAGATATTCTGATTCTCAACTCGAAGATGTGGATTCTGATGCGAGATGCGAAGCGAGGTGAGTAAAAACCTGTAAAGGAGCCGAGTATATGATATATGAGGGGACCGAGTTAGTCGCGTGTTCGCGATCAAAGTACATACATACATGCGAGGTATGTACAGGATCTCGCACAAAAAGAAACAGCCGATCAGTAGGTACTAGGTACCAGGGATGTAGGAATGCATTATGTAATAGGGATGGTGGTCTTGTAACAACTGCCGTGTATCTCGAGACCAAAAAAAAACCCAAGAAATTGCCCAGATAGTCTAGTGGGTGCTAGGCATTGCACCGAGTTCTGTCGACTCACCACGAGTTCATCGCTAATGTTTGTTGAGGGAATGGCAGAGATACATGCTGCTCTCCCTCCATATATCCCCCTGCCTCCACACAGCCTTGTTTACAGCCTTGCGTACAGTGACATATTACATGTTACATTTCGTTATATGTTGTCTCAGTTAACGGATCGTTGTCTATGGGAATATGTCCTGCTAGAAACTGTGCCAAAGACTTTTAACACACGTTATTATAGCCATTAGATTCCATCCCAGCGCTCTGTTACATAAGTACACGGTATGTACTCCGAGTATGCTAAAGAAAACCAAACCACGAGAAACTACAGCACGAACCGTTGTGAGGAGTATCATCAGTGCGTGCCTTGCCAGCCCGACCGCTCTTCCATAAATTCTTCGACCTCCTTCTGGGCCCGTATAGACTTTGTCCAGGTCAACACCTTATCCAGGACATGGTCGACGCGCGCCGCCAAAAACCCCTCGTAGACCATGTCCCTCATATTCTCACTCGACGACTCGATCGCCTTGTTCATCTCGGACAGCAGCCCGACCAAGTCCGTGCACTGGTCAGAGACGGTCACTGAAGCCTTGTTAGTAGATGGCGCGCAAGATATGGCAGAAGAGCTGATCAGGTGGTCTAGCGACTGGATCCACAACTCGAGCTCCCTGATGCGCATCCGTCGTGCGGCTTCCAGTTGTGGGCTGGTGCTGCGAGGCAATGGGCTGAAGACGTACTCCAAGCCCTCCAACAGTTGGGGGACGGATGGGACGACTGGCTTGAGGAAGGACGGTTGAGGCTTTGGAGTGAGACTCTGCTTGAGATCTGCCAGTGCCTTTGCACCTTGGGTTTGGCGCTTGATGTTGATCGCAACGATCTCGGGGGGAAGTTCTTTTCGAGGTTTCGGCGGCATCCGATGTCTAATGACCGGAGGAGGTACTGTTGCTGCTGCATCGACTGCTGGCATGGCCCTAAGATAGAGGCTAGGCGTATGTTGAGGGATACCAGGAGCTATGGAAGAAGCTGCCAGACCTGCGAAGTTCGACCTCATGTCGCACATGCCGAGTGGAACACGGTGAGCGGCCACAGATCGGATCACTGGTGAAGGAACACTCTTAGGTCCCACAGGTGGTGGTGGTGGTTCCGCTGCAAGGCCACGGGGACCACGAAAGGAGTTCTCAATGTCCATCGGAGCCGAATGAGGTGTTGTTCGTGTTGGCTCCAGCATCATTGAATGCATGGCTTCGACGAGAAGTGCGAGGGAGGAATTCGACTTGACCATGTCGTCGTGATATTGTTGTATCTTCTCGGCCTGCACTTTGTTGTGGGCATGTATCTTTTCAGTTGCTGACCTGTCCCAGTCGATGTCAGTAATTGAGTGATTGACGACCCGTTCCAGCGTTCAAGAACGGGGGAAAGGGGGGCAATGGATGGCGATCCCAGGGGACAACCTTACCAGTGAAAGGTACTCAGGACCAGGTTGATAGCATTGACATGCGCTTGTAGTTTGTCGCGATATGCCTTCAACGAGTCCTTGTCGATATCCCATCTGATCTTTGCCCAGTTTGACGCGATGGCGTTTTTGAAGACCTTCCTTCTTTTCTGGCTCTTCCCGGAACCAGAACCAGCGCCCGACTCGACGCCCTCGTTGTTCTCGTTGTTTTCCGACATCGTGGCCCCTTCGCGGTACTTCTTGGTCACATTGTCCAAGTCATCCAACGTGACGGCGCAGTTCTGCACCATTTGATCCAGGGCCTGTTGCATTTCCCGTCCATGGCTGTCGTTGGATAGAGATGTCGAAGCTGCCTTTGAAATGTCCCCGGCAACATGGCGCAGATGACTCAGGGCACAATTTAACCCGTACAGCACCTCACCCAGCTCCTGCAGTTCGCGACTGGCATTCCGTCTGCCGGTGGTCACGGTGTCGTAGAGCTTGTAGGACAGTTGCCCGAGCAGGATTATGTCGCCGATGCTGAAGCCGAAGGACATTGCCACTGTGAAGTTGAAGTTGGAGTTGAAGCTGAAGTTGAAGTCGGCCCGTCAGGCTGAATTGTCATGTGTGTCTGTGCCATGAATCAAGCACGGGAAGGATGATTTCAATGGACAGCACAAGGGTCTCCTCGTATGTCTCACGATAAAGACCAAGAGAGAGGGGATGGTGTGTTGGACGAGGGGCCTGACTTGTGTTTCTTCTTCCAATGTTGCCTTTTGACTTGGCTTGCATGATCAATTGAGCTGGCGATTGGCAGATTTCAAACCCCCCCTGCAAGGATGGCACGGAGGGTTACAAGGATCGTTAGAGCGCTCGATAGGCAGACATGGGAAACCTTTTCAGTGCCAATCACTCTAACCGGTGAGGCTGAGCTGTGAAATGCGAAATCCTGGGCGCTTGGACAATAAAGTGGCTGCCTTCTGTCCAGCCTTATAACATGGAAATGATTCCTTGGAAACATCAATTCTTATCTGTCTGTCTAGCTGTTTCTATTCTTCTCTATCACACACACACACACGAGGCTTAGCAGACAGTTAGCAGCAGATCATGGCCACGAGTGAACATGGCAAATCGCCTGAATCCACGGGTAGCGAAGTGCGTCTTCGCATCAAGCGCCTCAGACGCGATCTAGACGACGACGCACCAGAGCTTTCAAGCCCTGATGACGATGTGCCGATTCCAGAATCAGAAGAAACCATTCTCCTGCCTGGCGATCTCCCGGTGTCAGAGCTGTGGACTAAGTTAGAAGGTCAGTCGTTATTCTAGACCTCTAGTGCATTGTACGCAAAGAGGAGGCCTGACCAGGAGGTAGAGCTGGGCTATATTCTTCCCGATTCACTCTCTCGCAATGGAGAGAAGTGGAAGCCCGGGCGCATCAAGCCTCAGCTCCACGAATTCGAGCAAATCACCGTGGTCCAGGAGGACTTGCCCTCCGATTCCAGCAAGTCCATCCACATTGATGACAGACTCATTGCGTATGCCAATCGCCACTTCGGCCAGGCGATCCAGTTCAACGTCGGCGAGAATGATTCGAACCTCTATGGCACGAAGATCGACAGCCTCAAGGACTCGCGGGGGCTTGAGATCGTGTTTCACCGGACGGTTAGAATGCCAGATGACGAGAAGCTTCATCAGCTACCTGGGTCGCTGGGAGCCTTTCCCCTCTATAGCGTTGAGGGATATGCCGACAAGTTGCCCAGCGCGATTGTGCAGGCAGGCGGAGTTTTCATGCCCATGTGGCAGCGAGAGGCACTTTGGATAAGCCTGGAAGCACGAATCGGCACGCGGTACGCTCTGAGATTCTCGGTGGGACGTATCAATGCCGTCTCTGGGGAGAAGATGGACCAAGAAAAGGATATCTCGGCCGATGGACAACGGGTTCAAGACTATGTCGTCGTCCCGGGCCAGGAGTGGCTCGACGGGATCTGTGTCGCTCCCGGGATTGTGAGACAGTTTGTCGCCATGCCATGTAAGTTTCCCCCTTCCCGTCCCTGTTCACTGCCGAGGCGTGGATGGATCTCATCTAATCAACCATTCTCAGTGGGTTCTGGATACACTGTCGAGGGCCAAAAGACGGGGGAAGAGAAGCACGGGGGCCTGCAAATCGAGATCATCCCAGCCTTCCAGGAGAGATTGCGGACTTGGGCCAAAGACCAGACTGGAGATATAAGTGCCTCAGACCTGGAATACGGGCGACTCAACGAACACAGCACGCCACGCCAGTTGGGGCTCGGAGTTGGCAACACCATCAGACTGTACCCAGAGAAGGCTGTCGAATACGTCCCAGCAACGGTGGCGGATATGGTTGGAGGAGCACAGGTAGACGAGGACTGTCCCGTGAGTATCTCTTGTTTACTGTCATGGAAATGTCGTTAATGTCAGGTCAGGTATTCGTACCAGAATACAGAGCTGCTCTGAGAAAGGATAGACTCAAATCTATGCTGTCAGGACGCAAGTACGAGTTGGCAGACATGAGTTCGTACAGTAATATCACTCGTCAGGGCGCATTTCAATTTAACAACCACTCTGGCACCCGGGTGGCTGGTACCGAAAGTGTACTTGCAGATCATAGATTCGAGCAAATGATGGCCACATCCTCCGCCTATACTCGCGGTGAAAGCCTATCGATGGCCCATCCAGCCCCTGCAGCCGCTGACGAAGGTTTCGGCGCTGGCGAGTTCGAGGCTGCTACTTATCAGGACATGTCGAGAGAACCCCAAATGAATGCAGCAGAGTCAAAACCCACCATCACGACCAAAGACCTCAAGGCGATGGGACTGGCCGCTGGTGGAAAGCTCGGTGAGTGTATCCTTCAAGAACACCCGTGAAGACTGATCACATCTTTGGTGATGGCTGCCCTGGCACAATTCTGGGACATGATGGTGACTCATTTCTTCCTTCTTGCCCACAGTCCAAGACATATATCGCGACCACAATCCAGCGTCCATCTGGAACACCGAAGCTGCAAGGCTGGTCCATGTCCACATCCTGGACCCGGCGTCCTGCGAGGCCGTCACCCACGTCGTGCCCCCACCGCCGCCGATTGATGCCATGGGCTACGTCGAAGAGGGCGGTGCATTTTTCGTCGTGGAAGAGCAGCCCGAGAACCGCGTTGACGGGGGAGACTTTGACAACGTCAAGTCCGTCTCGGCCATGGATCAGCAAAAAGGTGTGCAGAGCGAGCCGTCGCTGGATCCATCACAGCCGACCCGGTGCAAGTGCGGTATCAGACTGTGTGACTGCGTGTAAGGAAGCCATCCAACTGAACTCTGTCGATTGGTCCTTTACTGACAAACCTCCCGGTGTAGCGTCCGCCCTTGCGACCACCAGTTCTGCAATGTCTGCGTTCGTGAAGTCGACCCGTTGGCAATTACCCGCAGCTTCACCTCCGCCGAACCCCCTTCGAGAGAGAAATGGTTCTGCCCGACTTGCAAGAGGGCAGTGTCCTATGTGGCGGGATTCTCGGCTCCCATGAACTTGCCAGGTGAGGAAACTGTCAGGGTCCGGGTGCCGGTTAATGTCCTCGAGGTCAAGGACGGCAGGGTTGCGTTCAAGAGTATTCAAGAATCTAGGATCTGAGAAGATTGAATTGAATAGGTGTTTCAGGGGTTAGTTGTGATGCGATTTGTGAATCAAAGCACTGCTGGTTGATTTACCGTGAAGGAACAGCAAGTCAGGATGAATCGTAATGAGCATTTCCAGTCTCCCAGCCTCCTCTGGCAGACAAGCGGGAGCAGTGTGTTTCCTAGATATCTGGCTGCGAATGCCTCTGTCGTATCTTTTTTCTGTCTTCTCTTAAACGTCTCTCTCTTGTATGCAATCCGAAGTGGCTCAGTATTGGCCCAGCATCGAACACAGCTCGATAGATTATTATTTACCAGCAGAACCACCATCCTCTGCCTATCACGTCCTCCGCTCGTCAGTGTAGCAGCTTTACATACCCCGATGGCCGGCCGTCTTGTCCATTTCGCGCGAGAATCACGACCGTCGTACTGTCTCTGGCGATCTTGCCGACTACGCGATTGCGGTCGTCCGGTATCGGTGGTCGAAGTGTCGGGTGTTCGCAGACGAAGTTTGAAACGTACGAATCCCCATCTCCGATGGTGAGTGGTTGAATCGTGGTCGACGATGGAGGAACAAGTTCACCGTCGATGTAGATCTCCAGGATAGGTTTGAAAGCTTCACCCGGTCCCGCTACCGCAGAGAGTGATCCCTCGATCGAAGCGAACAGATTGCCATCTTGACCTGAACTGGTGTTGCATCTTGTTATTGTCAGGTTTGGCCTCGCTTTGGACAAAACCTGTCTGTCTGTTGGGATCACATCCGACGGTAATGCCGGCGTCAGTGGCGGCATTGCTCGTCTCTTGCTTTGCTGTTCGTATGCGTAACCAGCCTGCAGCAAGTCATGATCATGGTAAGCCCGACCCAACAACGTCAAACCCATGGGCATCCTCAAGTCCGCCAGGATTCCCATTGGTACCGTCACGTTAGGGATCCCCAAGTGTCGCAACGCCCTGTTGCCATGACTATACTTGACACCATCCGTCCAGGCATGCTGGGCGCTCTTGTCGTCAATGTCCGCGTCGGCGCGGGCAACATCGCCAGCAGCGGGGAAGGCGACCAAGTCGTAGTTGTGGACCGACATCCAATCCTCAAAGAAACGGATTCGGATTTGTTCGAGAGCTCGCACGGCCCTCTCAAGATGTGGAACGTCGTAGATAGCGCTCTTGCCTGGCCTGCTAGCAGGGGGTCGGTTGGCGACGTAGTCTGCCAACTTCGCCCAATGGACGGCATTGGCTGGTTCGGTAAACTTGACTTGGGGATTATCGCGTGGCAAGTGAGGAAAGATCTTGGTTGGATCTACCTGTGTCAATGACTGGATGTGCGGGTCGTGGTTGTTCTGCAGAAAATCTTCCCAGGCATGAGCGATCAAAAGTCCCCTCTCGGTGCTGTTCCAGTCATTAGGTAAATAAGGCAGAGAGGATGATGTGTCGTCACTTTCTGGCTTGCGCAGCATTTGTTCGTATATACGCAGCACTGGGAGATCTGGGATTATCTCGACAGTCGCACCCGCAGCCTCAAGGTCGGCCTGTGCCTGATGCCATAGAGGCTCGATGGCTTGGGATATCAACGGTCCGCCATCTTGCTGTTTGATGTAGATTTGGGGAACTGCAATCCGCTTTCCATTGAGACATCCCGGGTCCTTGGTAGTGATCGAAGACTTTGAAATGTCAGACCCGGACGACGCTGGAAGCTGTAAGAATGGTTGATCTCTCCAGAAATCTCCAACGGTCTCTGGGTCCTGTCTGGTAAGCACATCCATTAGAACGAACATATCGCCCATGCTGCGTGTATGAGGAACAACAACATCGCAGGTTGGATACAGTGGCCAGTTGCCGCGGATTGATATGAGTCCTCGCGACGGAGTGTAAGCTACCAAGGCGTTATTTGAAGCGGGAGAGCGGCCGGACGACACCGTTTCCTCACCCATACCGAAGGCGGCAAACGAAGCTGCAACAGAGACACCACTCCCATTGGAAGAGCCGGATCCAAAAGCGGCCGCTAGGTAGTCCTTGTTGTACGGACTCTCTGCTCGACCATAAACACCACGAAGCATTCCACCGTATGCCATAGGACACATGTTTGTCCTGCCCATCAGGACAGCCCCCGCGTCTCGCAGAGCTCGCACAGTGAATGCATCTTCATTGGCAACGAGGTTCTCAAAGGCCTCTGAGCCACTAGCCACAGTCATCCCGCGAACTTTGTAGCTGTCCTTGACCGTGAAAGGAAGTCCTTCAAGGGGACCATGCGCTTGACCAGCAGCACGACGGTCGTCTGCCGCGGCTGCTTCTTCGAAAACATTCTCGTTGATCAGTGGAATTGAGTTGAGGGTGGTGGTTCTGCAGTCATATGCACTGATGCGATGCAGATACTTGGCAACCAGTTCCACTGAAGTCAACTTTCCGTGGCATAGAGCTTGTGATAAGTCGGCGATGGTGGCGTCGACGATGCTACCGTTGAAGGACATGTCGGTTGGTAGTAGAGCAGTGGTACGGCAGAAATCTCGAGCTTATCAGACGTAGAAATTGTAGGACTGAAGGAATAGCAAAGATTTTACAGCGTCCAACACGAGAATGTACCCTTCCGATTACTAATTCGATGTTGGTTGCCCTGTGGCCTCCTCCATTCTCCTCCTTGCTACTTGATACAAACGCGCCATACATGATGCAAGAGCAAGACAGCGTTGATGTCCACAGCCGTCCTGACAGTCTTTTGTAGTGTGGAGACAAAGCGGAACATTGTTTCTCCACTTCTCTAGCCTCTTGCAGAAGGTCCTTCCGGCGCTGCCCCAAGAAGGTGAAATATCAGCGACCTTGATAATCCAGTATATAAATTGCCTTCCGACGTGCCAATGGCGTCAATTTGCGCTCTGTCGCCCCTGCAATATCGATATGCTACCCACGTCGACATGGCATTTTATTCGAAATATATCTTGCCTGGGTCGCAGGGTAACTCAGGGCAAACCAATATCTCTCTACCATAAAGTATCCAAGTCCTATGAAGCGACGACGATAATCCCCCCAAGGATACCAGTCAGAAGACAAGTCTCGAGCATGCCCGACCACGCCCATCATGGTCGCTTTCGCATGCCAGTGGAAAGCGCACGCCACTCGCACACCCTGATGGCTTTCCCCAGCAGAGAGTCAGCAGAAAGTACAGAGCATCTGGAAGCTCTACAGTCCGAAGTGACCAGCATCGCCAATACCATCTCCCGCTTCGAGCCAGTGCACCTCTACGCCCGCGAGGAGCTCATTCCGCAGGCAGAATCCATGGTCAGCCGCAACGTCTCAGTTAAGCCGGCAACGGTGAGTGAGCTCTGGATCCGCGACAGTGGGCCGGTCTTCGTGCAGGACATGACCACGGGCAGAAGAGCGGCCGTCGGTTTCAACTTCAACTACTGGGGCGGCAAACTTCCCGCCATTGGTGATGAGAACGTTGCTTCCCAAATTGCTGCGCACGCGAATGAAGTCTCGGTATCTTCCAAACTCACCATTGAGGGAGGGGGCATTGAGCACGACGGCGAGGGCACATTCCTCGGTACAGAGAGCTGCATCGTCAACGACAACCGAAATCCTGGGTTCTCCAGATCTGATGTCGAAGCTGAGCTCACGGAAAAGCTCGGAGTCACGCATTTCATCTGGATCCCCGGCGTCAAGGACTACGACATTACAGATTACCACATCGACGCGCTGGCACGCTTCACGTCCCCCGGCGTTGTGCTTCTCAGCAAGCCCGGGCCGAATGCTCATCCCACAGCGGTCGACGTCTACGAATCTGCCCGCTCTATCCTCACATCGGCAAAGGACGCCAAGGGTCGATCATTAAAAGTGCATGACTGCGAGGAACCTGACATCACACTCCTGGGACCGCCCGATCAGCATAACGAGGTCATCGGATCGTATGCAAACTACCTCCTCGTGAACGGAGGGGTTATCATGCCCAAATTCGGGCAGGAAAGACAGGATATCGCGGCTTTTGAGTTGTTCAAGAAGTTATTCCCCGACAGGGAAGTGGTCCAGGTGCTCATCAACATGTTGCCGAGGACGGGCGGCGGGATCCATTGCGCGACGCAGCAAGTTCCGCAAATCTGAATCTAAATTCGACGGTGTTTGAAGTGATCCACTGGTTGGCATGGCGTCCAGATGAGTATGCACAACGGCATGAATTGTCCTCTCCTCGGTGCGGGTATGGTGTCTCATGTTCCAGGAGTTTCCATCACATTATTTCCCAGCTCACCATCAAAACCAAAAGTATTTTGCTATGCACACACACATATTTCTGTACCTGATATTCAAGCCCCAGTATCCCGTTCCATGCCACAAAGTTGTAGACATAGACACAGTACAATAGCGCGCGTAGAAGGAAAGGAGGCCGAAAACACTGTCACTTTGTCATTCACAGTCCTGTCTCCATGATTGCTTCTACAAGTCTACAGAACACAGCACACAAAGGCTGCAGCCACATACACACCTAGTGGAACCGTTCGTGCAACCAAACTTGACTCGGTACATTCTCACTCCTACTGAAAATAAAAGCCTTCAGCCCCGGAATCTATCCTTTCAACTACTAACCCTATTCTTTGTGGTTCCATTCGACCTCCTCAATATTGCATTCGCATGTACGAGTACACCATACAGAAGGGGGAGAGCGTAAGAGGGTAGAAATGGTAGGTACACGTGACGAGGCTGAACAACCCCTTACCCTTAACTCCCTCTCCTCCTGAGCCGCGGAAGTGAGACGACAAGTAAGTGGCTTCGCTGGTCGACATGGTCTGCATGATTGAGGCCCGTTCATGGCTCGTGCGTCTCAGTGTAATCCAGCCATGCTTGTGGACGAAGTGAGATGAAGTGATTATCCTGGAAATGAGCGCAGGTCGCCATGAGCGAGGCTGTAGAAGCGGATACCTAGGTGTAAACAACCCCTTCATCCAAATGGTAGCATGTTTAAACACTTTTGAATTGAAGTAGAGAGGTTGGTATATGCAAGCTTCTTCCTTCCCAGCTCGGACTCCCTCAATG